CAACTATAACTGAAAAATAAAAAAATTATTAAAAAAAGAACAATGATGATAAGAAAATGCTTTCTCATTTAACTCCTTTGGTGTAAGATTTTCAGTGGCTTTCTACTTTAAAAAAAATTAATATTAATGGTAATAATTATCATTGTTATTATAGCTAACACTAATGGGAATTTTATTATGTCCTGGGATCTATTCTAAGGACTTTATACATATCAACTTATTTAATCCTCACAACTCTAAATATTCTCATTATACAGGTCAGGAAACTGAGACTCAGAAAAGCAACTTCGGGGCTTTTGCATAAGCTCTCACTCCATCCTTGACTCTTAGATCTGGTTGACTGCTATTCAAACTTCAGACAGGACACTTTGGGGGAATCCTCTAAGACCTCCCTTACTACGCCAGGCCTTCCTATGGCATATATCCAAGTTTGTAATTACATATTATTTTTGTTGGGGGGGTCATTTGATTGACATCTGCCACCCCAATAGGTTTTAAATTCTAAGCTTTGCTCATTGTGTGTCCTCATGTAACAAATGCTGGCTCAACATTTGTTGAATGGATAAGTGAAAAGTTTTTTTTAATAAAAGAGTTGTGGTCAGATTTGCTTTAGAAGGATTTCTCTTGTGCTGAGTCCAAGTCACTGCCAGCATCTGGATTCAGGAGTGAGAGGAAGGGAGTCTAGATGAGGACCATAGCCATGGGGATGGAGAGCAGTAAATGAACCTGGGAATATTTAAGAGGTAGATTGAGCAGGCCCTAATAATTAACCGGATGGAGGTGAGGATGGAGAAGGAGTCAAGAGTGACTCCCAGGTTTCTGACTCAGGCAGCTAGTACCTTCAACCCAGGCAGGGAGCACCTAGGAGGAAAGAGCCAAGTTAGGTGGGTAGAGCAGGTAGCCCTTAGACCAAGTCAACTGAAACTTGGAAAAGTTCTCAGAATCTTTGTGCCCAAACTCTAATTTGGTCCTGGTGTACTTGTCCAGCCTTGTCTCCAACTTACCCCCTCCCACCCCCACCACCACAACAAAGGGCACAGAGACCACCTCCCCTCCTCTAAGCGCTACTCTTCCCCCTCCCAAGCTGTGAGTACTGTCCCACTCCTTCACGCCTCCCTCAAACTCCTCACTATTCAGCTTCAAGGACATCTCTGGGATCGCTCCTCAGGGCCTCCATCACTTCCTGGGGTTAACATGTCCTCTGCTGTTTCCAAGATGTACTGTATCATAAATGTTTCTCTCTGCCTGTCTCCCCTATTGGCTGTTTCTCTCAATTCTGAATCCCCAGCACCTGGGACAAGGCCTGAATCAAGATTAACCTCAAAAAAACTTTGTTTTCTAGATTTCCCCCAAGGTCTTGGCTTTTTTACATTAAGGATGGAGCCAGGAGTTGGACACTGAATTCTGATGCCACCATTTAGAAGTAGGACAAGAGACTTCTCTCAAATCCTGTTTCCTCATCTGTCAAATGGAGATGAACTGCAGTGGACCTACCTAGAAGAATTCTTTTGAGGATCAAGTTAAATACTCGATGCTAAGTTTTTAACACAATGCCTGGAACACTGTTAGCTCCCTCAGAATATTTGTTGTTATTTATCCTAAGAAAAAAGTTCCCGCCTTAACGCCGGGAAGCTGCGTGAGCTGGAAACGGAGGGTTGCAGTTCCCAGGATGGCCACACGAGAGAAGTGGGGAGCAGCCTCGAGGCGAACTCTGGCTCCGCTCTGCTGAAGGCACCTGCTGTGGATCCAGATGGCCTGGCGGGGATTTCTAGGGCTTTCCGGCCCCTGAACAAGTGGGCGCTGGCCGGGACGCTGTGGGAGAAACCTCCGTGGTGTGCTCGGCCTCAACTCTCACAGCCACCGCCGTCCCTTCTGCTGTTCCCCTTCTCGGCTTTGAGGAAAGTCTGGGCAGCCCAGAGGGTGCAAGAGTAGAGGGCAAATGGGATTTATCCTCTCCTGCTTGTCGTTTGTCTTTCAAACTTGAGTATGATCACTTCCTCTCTATTGAAGTTTTTATAGTCAAATTGATCTATGTTTTTCCTTTGGCTTCTAGGTTTCATCATGCTTAGAAAGTCCTCCATCTCCAAGAGTAATAAAACATTGAGTATGTTTTCTTCTGGTACATTATGGTGTTATTTAAATATGCACTCCACCTGGAATGTATTTGTGTAGAGAAAGGACGCAGCTTTCTTTTATTTCCCCAAATGACTTGCCAGTCATTCCACCCATTTGTTGAAAGGCCCATATTTCCTCCCATTTACCTGAAGTGCCATCTTTTTTTTTTGAAATCACTTTCTGACATTCCGTTAATCAAATTCCATTTTTAAAAAAGGACTGGATACGACTTAAATTTTTTGTAGCTCCTAAACCAGTTTAAACATTGATTTATGACTAAAATAATTTGAGGACCTAAATGTTTCCAGATTTGTTTTGAATAGTATGTTGTATTCTTATCACAGTATTTGATTTTTTTTCTGAGAAATAATAAAGAAACGCCTCAATCATTATTTATTTTTAGGAGCATAATTAACAAATTGATGAAAAATGATCCATTCCAACCCTTATTAAATTTTAGGGCCTTCAACA